CCTATCACTCTGAGCAGCACTGATCTAGATGTTGGTTTGCAAATCACAGCAATGCAGTCAAATAGCACTGGGAGGATTGCATGAGTCTCATCCTTTTTTAAAAACATATTTAGATACACTGTTGTTGTGTGCCTTCAAGTCATTTCCAATTTATGGTGACCTTAAGGCGAGCCTATCACAGTGTTTTCTTGGCAAGATTTGTTTAGAGGGGGCTTGCCTTTGCCTTACTCTGAGAATAAGGGCCTTTGCAGACTGCTAAAAATAGTGCAAATTGAGTCCACTTTAAGGGTTACGGTTAGGGTTAGGGAATCATGGGAACTGTATTTTATTGTGGCACCAGAGCTCTCTGACAGAGAAGGCTCAATGTCTCAGAAAAAAACAATTCCCATGATTCCCTAGCACTAACCCTAAGCCTTAAAGTGGACTCAATTTGCACTATTTCTGGCAGTCTGCAAAGGCCCTAAGAGTGTGTGACTTGCCCAAGATCACCAGTGGGTTTCCATGACCAAGAAGGGATTCAACCCCTTGTTTCCAGAGTACTAGTCCAACACCCAAACCACTGCACTACACTGGCTCTCAATGCAACTATGCATTAGATGCATACTATGTATTTTATCTGTCTGATTTGAAGTAAAGAAAAAAAAAAGATGAGAGTTGGGTTGTTTTGTGAACTGAGATATGAACAGGCGTGGCCCACTCCCTGGCTCCTGGGCTAATGTGAACTTCAGAAAGCTCCTGTCCATTGAGTTTTCTAGTTCTCTGAATGGCATGATGTGAAAATCAAAATGCAATAAAACATATTTTGAGAGAAAGTACACATTCAAATACAGTCATTTCTGTGGATTGTAAAAATGGCAGCTTACTGCCAAAATGAGATGAAGCAGATATCTATGGAGATTTTCAGATGGGAGAAAAAAGCTGGGAGTGAAAGGCATGCTCTTGGCATAATCATGCAATTGCACTAAAATTTTTCAGACAATATTATGCTCATCCAAGACTTATCCAGTGAAGACCCAGGAATGGTCAAGCAACAAACCATTCACAGGACTTCCCCATTAATGGTTTGTTGCTGGAACATTTCTGGATTTTCACTGGATAAGTCCTGGATGAGCGCGATGTGTCTAAAAATCTTCAGCGTGATCACACGATTATTCTGAGAATATGGTTTTTACTCCCGGCTTTTTTCCCTTCTGAAAATCTATATGAATGCACATGAAAGCAACATTGATAAGAAATAGTCCAATTCAGTCATTCCTTGTTGAGAGATATGTTTGCCTAACTTCATGTCTAGACTTAAGTGCAAAAGAATATAGTTTTGGTGATGTTTGCATAGGTTTCTATGAATATATCGCATCAAGTAACTTTTTCAGCCAGGGAGAAAAATAGCCATCTTTGCAGTGTGAAACCTGGTTACTTTTATTTCCAGTTAAAAAGCTTAATGTTTTTCTCTGTGACAGGTTACTAAGGAATCAGAAGCTCTTATCCCTAGTGTTTTGTGAGGAGGAAACTTTCCCCTCTTTTTCTTATTACTCTACCTTTCCTTCCATCTTCTCATAATATACGCAGACTTGTATTCAAAAGCAGATGCTCCATATGGGATACAAGAGTCACACCTGAGCCTGAACAATGCCCACTTTCTTTTCCAGAGAACCCTGTGGTAGCTGAGGTGTGTGTTGTCTTGGCTTCAGAAAAGGAAGATTTATAAGGTGTTCAAGGAATGTTGCCAAATGTTAATTGCTTCTGTTCCAGGATTGTTGAGAAAGAAAAAAAAAAAAAAGGAAGAACACAGTTTTCTTTTGCTCTGAAAATACTGCATTTGTAGTTAACGCATTTGTAGTCATCTGTTAATGGAATATCATTTCATATCCCCGTGAGATGTATAGTTGTGTTTTGTCAATACCAAAGTGTTAGTATTTCTGCCTAACTTTATGCAGGCATACATCTTCATCTGAGGCAGCTAACAGACAAGCTACAACAGTTTGACCTTGTGTAAATGTGGTGTCTTGCTAGAGCATATGTTACCTTGTTAATTTTTTATCACCAAATGCCTGCTAGGAATGTGATTTGAAGAATGAATAATCTCATTAACTGGGAAAGGTAATGGAAATTGTCACTTTTGTGGCATTGTTTAACTGGGGAAATAAATGGCATTTTAATTTACAGGAACTGAGTCAATTGTGGTAAAAGTCAATTTGGCCAGAAGGGTTAGAAGAAGAGGAAGAAAAAACATTATTTTATTTTCCTAGAAGAGAGCTGCAGAGTTGTCACATTCATGCGACAGGCCTCTACAATTGTCATAGTATTTGGGAAGATGGAAATGCTGATTTTGTTTTTATTTTTATGTTTGCTTCTGTACAACTATTAAAGTAATTTGTGTCTTGCTATTTCTTTAGTTTATTCTCTTTGTTAATGAGGAAACCAGGGCTTCTTAGTGGTTAGAATACTGGACAGGACTAGAGATTCCCAGGTTCAAATCCCAAGTCTCCTATGAAGCTCTCTGTGCAACTTTGGGCCAGTCATTGACCGAATCCTGTCAGGGACTTAATGTGTATTGGGACACTGGCTAGGAGTGCTGATGTGCATGGGGACACTCTTGCTGGTGTCCCAATGCACATCTTTGCAATCCACTAATAGTGTTTCTTAACACCTAATGTAGCTAAGTATATGTAAAGTTATGTACTGTAATGTATACTCTGATAGAGGATTCCAGCTACTGTGTCCAGACCTAAGCTACTTTACAAGGCTGCTGTGAGGATAAATTTCAGGAAAAGAATTAATGCACCAGCTTGAGCTCTCTGGAGGAAAAAAATATATATTAATGTAATAAATAATAAAGAAAGAGAAAGCAATGGCATAGTCATACATTTTGATGGACAGACCTCTTCAACATGATAGCAGGAAGAAAAATGGAAAAGTTTCCCAGAAATAATTTATAGAGAAGAGAAGAAAATGGCTCCTTGTGAATTGAGAGTGAAGCCATTCTCAGTTACTCTTGCCTCCCGGAATTTAAATATAGCTGCACACCCACTCTCAGTGCACCTTACAACCCCACATACTGCTACACAAGCCTCTCTTAATATGGATTCAGTCAGACTTTGGTTTATATCCTTTTACTGTTTTGCTAAATCTCTTCTCCTTATTAATGACACCCCACTTTTTCTTAGATTTTCAATTCCTGAGTAAAACACTCAGAATCAAAATGTCCAATTCCTGTCCACTTCAGTTTGCTCACTCCAATGTATTGCACTCTTTATGTGTTCCACTTCTTGCCTTAATATGTCTAGGTTCCCTTGATCCATACTTCTCACATTCCATGTTCCTATAATATGTGTTGTGCAGTTTTGGACTTTCCTCTCATTTCTGAGCACATCAACAGCCCACTAGCTTGAGTCCTGTTGCATCATTAGCCATAGAGAGAACTTGCATTGTCCTCTGCTGTACCCCAGTAGCTTGGTGAGTGCCTTCCAACCTGTGGGTATCATCTTCTGGCACCATCTCATTTTGTATTGCCTCATTATAGGATTTCCATGGTAAAGGACATTCAAAAAGGGTTTACCATGCCTCCTTCTGAGCAAGTCTTAGCTCTACCAATGTCACCCCACACTACCACTGCTAAGCAGAAGCTGCTAGGCATCTTTAGTCTGGCTCCTCCGCAAAAGCCTATCTGGCATGAGAGACCCTACCAACAGCATTGCTACCATCAGCATAGCCTCTTGCCTCAAAGGAGCATACAGACCCATCACCATGGAAAGGGAGTGTCATTGGTGGGGAACAGAACATACCAGCTGTGATTATCAGATGCCAAGAAGAACTGTTTAGTAATAGAACAAGCTGTTTAGAGGTGTTCTAGATTTGCTCTTCCCAATTTTATGCCCTCCAAATAGCTGGACAGCAGTTTCCACCATCCTGCCAGCATGATCTATTCTGGATCCCTCTCTTCTGCAACATGACCTCTCCTTCACCTAAAATTACACTAAAACAGGTATGGATCAATACTTATTTTCTTCCATATTGCAAATATGATTTAAAAATATATAGTGGACTAGATAATTTGGAATTTTTAGAACAGGTTTGCAATTCCAATGTTTGAGGAAGATGGATTGGGCAACTGTATAAAGTAGTCTGATTCCAATATGTGCTGTAGCCTGTTCAGCACAGGTGCATATACATAGTGAAACCTCAGGAGAATCCCCCCACCTCTCCCCCCTTCTTGTTCAGCCTTTGAGCCAGGAATTAAGTGTGCAGTGTTGATTTTAAGGGTTCAGCTCCAGTTGTTCTCCTCAATACTGTAATGAGTTGACCCTTGGCTACATGAACTTGCTATGGAATTTTTCTGCTACCCTGTCCACATAAGCTGCTTGGAGCCATAAGCTGCTTTTTCATACCTACAGGCCTGTGAAGCTTTTGTCTTTATTGTTCTAGTCCATCAGTGTTACTCTGTAATTTCAGATAGCTGGATTTGTACCGCTCTGATCAACACTTGCCTTGCTCCCAAAGTAGAGAGAACATTCTTGGCCACTGCATCACAGCCGGCTTTCCACCTGTTTCTCTCCAGTGGCACCATGGGAGTTTAAGGCATAATAAAGGGATAAAAATAATACCCTGACATTGCTTACACAATCCATTATAGTAGTGTGTGCAGCTTGCAATGAGATACATCAGCTGTTGCCTGGCCAAAGCCTTGTCGCACAGTCATCTAGTCCTTTCAGAAGGCTTTGGACTGACTCTATAGGAAATTGTTGACAACTAACCTGCTGCTAATGCATCCATTGTTAGTGAATCTATGGCAGAAAGACTTCTAAGTTCTAACAAGTACCAACTTATAAACTTTGTTAGATAGCTATACCATTTAGCACAAATATACTCTTAAAAAATAATTATGCTCAGTCCAAAAGGCATATCAGTCCTCAGTTGAAAAGTCATATGGGGGTATGGATTGACCCTCCCTGCCTCTGCCATTACGATTACAAAAATGCATTTTCACTCCTATTGCAGCTATAATTTGTCTAGGAAAGAAACTTCCTATAGCGTAGGCTTCTGCCCAGAGGCAAATTACAGCTTGTGTGTATTGGGATTTATGTTTGAAATGCAGCAATGGAGAGGAACATTAAACCATACCTTCCAAATACCTTGATTTGGCAAGGGCAGCCCCAATTAATCCTCTATCATCCCATTTTCCCAGCTGCTTTAAAAATGTTCCAGCTTCTCTATCCTCCTCCCACTTTGCCCCTTTGTCCTTAGCTTACTTTAGTTGCAAACTGAGTTCGAAGTGCAAAAGTAGTTTGCACTCAGTTAATGGCAGGGAGTTGAGGAAAGGAATGAGTGGAATCTTGCCCTTCCCAGGAGGCTCAGGCGAAGCAAACTGCTGCAGCCTCTCCAAGCTTGTGTGTTCTTCTTAATTAATAACTTGTGCCTTCTTACCCACATTCTGATTTTGCTTGGCCACATGTGTCCTGGTTTTCCTGAATGAAATGGTGGCGGGTATGTTAAATCTCTCCCTACATACGATGTTCAAGTGTAGATTGTGAGCTGCTGCAGTGGCTATTGTTTTTAAAAATGTGCTTGTTGAAAGCT